GGAGGTTGTGGTGAGCCAAGATCATGCCATTGCACTCCAGCCTGGGCAACAGAGCAAGACCCCGTCTAAAATATAAAAAATGAAAAATTCTCACAGTGCAGTAGCCCCCTGAGGTGGGTAGTAGTATCTCTTGGGCGTAAGTAAGTAAAATGAATATCTTTGAGAGATGGTGATCTCTCAAGGCCTCACAGTGAATAAGCCGTGAAGCAGGTTTGGCTCCCAAACCTCTGCTTTTTCTCTTCTACTCTGCTGAATTCCTTTGAGCAACAGATAGTAAATTAGAGAACGAAGAGTTGACTGTAAAGTTTCGTCCTTCACATCTCACCTCAAACGCTCTCCCCAGTGTTCTTTCAGTGTAGTCTTAATTGGACTATTCAACTCCTCATCACCCCAGACGCTGGTAGTATCTGGCACCAGGTAGGTACTCAGTAAATCTTTTTATTTTTTATGTATTTTTTTAAATTTATTTTAAGACAGTCTCGTTCTCTTCACCCAGGCTGGAGTACAGAGGTGCAATCTGGGCTCACTGCAGCCTCTACCTCCTGGGTTCCAGTGATTCTCATGCCTCAGCCACTGAGTAGCTGGGATTACAGGCATGCACCACTGCGCCCGGCCAGTAAATGTTTTTAATACATACAAATACATTACATCTTCTCTATAGTGAAAGTCACCACTGATGATGGAGCCTAAAGCAGGAAGCAGTCTGCTTTCCTTCCCTCAGTGTATAATCCTGTGCTTCATACTCTCCTTGACTTGGGCATTTAAATGTTTCCAAGACAAACTGGAACAAGGACTACTCAAATGGAGGAACCAAGGACAGACATTGCAGGTGGCCAGAAGTTGTTTCCCTGTTCCAAGGCAGCAATAATTCTTAGGTCTTCCCAATGATATTTCGGTCACAGTGCATTAAGAAGCTCCAGGATGTGAATGAGGACTCCATAAAATTCCTGCTTCCTGTACCACCACAGGCTGCAGTGGCTCTGAGATGCTTACAGCAGTGGGGTGTGTATTAATGAGACTCTAAAACATGCCCTAGGATGTTCTGATGAGTTTTTGGTATAGCCTTTTCCACCCTGCTTTGATTCCTTAATATATAAAAATGGGATTTATTTTTAGTTCTCTTCTTACTGAGCTCAGGCAGGGTCAAAATATGGCAATAAATGTAATTTTGCTTCTCATTTGCTGAGTGTTGTCCCCTTGAAGACACAATAGCTGGCTTTCTATTCTCTGGTGTGCTTTTATTTTCTAGATAAGATTTGAGCAATCTTTTACCCCCTTCACATTTGTGAGAATATTTTCCACTTAGCCAGCTTTCTGCTCTGAGGCATGTTTTGCTGCATCCTTATGTCTTATGATTTATTGTATTCAATACCTAGAAGAGGCCTTTATGACTACCAGATTGTTGTTAATATCTTTATTGCCAAAAAGCCATCATTAAGCATGCATGAAGAAAAACAGTAAAGAAAAAAAATTGTATAGACCTGGAATCTCTTATCTGGTGCCTCATAATCTAAGAACCCTGTTCTCCCTCTGCCCCCAAAACAGACATTATAAAGAAGAATGGAGGTTTTTTTAATGCAGTAGGTTGATATATGACAGGGCTTAGTTGGACATAATAGAGGACACACCAATAGAGAGGGCAGGTCAGAAGTGATTTCTGATTTAGAAGCCCAAAGAACACCATTGTAAGAGGATCAGGGTTACTATTCCCAGAACTTTCCCCTTAAATCAGTCTCAGCTCTATCTCTGACTTGTAGATAGAATTTTTGGAGTTTTTCTCCTGGGTGGTGAGGAGCTAGTTTTCAAATCTTTCCAAGACTTGTATTTTGAGCTGTGTATGTGCACCCCAATTTTTGGTTATATCAGACGTTTTCCCATATGTAGTTGTCATAAGTGAAAAATAAAATAAAAAATTAAAAAAGATTTGAGCCCTGGTGTGAGAATCTTGTCATAATGAACTCATTCTATTATATTTTATTTTTTCTTTTTTTGGAAACGGAGTCTCACTCTGTCACCCGGGCTGGAGTGCAGTGGTGCAATCTCGGCTCACTGCAACCTCCACCTCCTGGGTTCAAGCAATTCTCCTGCCTCAACCTCCTGAGTAGCTGGGATTACAGGCGCACACCACCACACCTGCCTTATTTTTTGTATTTTAGTGGAGACGGGGTTTCACCATGTTGCCCAGGCTAGTCTTGAACTATTGAGCTCAGGCAATCCACCCGCCTTGGCCTCCCAAAGTGCCGCCACACCTGGCCTATATTTTCAATATATACAAATAAAAAGTGATTTTAAGAAGATGTAGCCCAATTAGGATTTTCCCCACGCCCCTTTCAGGTACTAAATAAGAACTTCTTGTCATTGCAGGTGGGATGGAAGACAGTCCGTGAGTATTACACCTTCATGTGGGTTACTTTGCCCATTGACCTAAACAACAAATCAGCTAAACAGCAGGAAGTCCAATTCAAAGGTGAGAAAAATACTGGATCAAAGGTGTTGAAGACAGTAGCCAAGACTAATTAATTCCCTTCAGCTTGAGCTTTCTGGGGCAGATGAAAAGACTTCCAGAATTTTACTTTTCTGAATAGATCTTATTTTGGATTAAAACTTATGTTGTGTTTTCAGCTTACTACCTGCCCAAGGATGATGAGTATTACCAGTTCTGCTATGTGGATCAGGATGGCGTGGTCCGGGGAGCAAGTATTCCTTTCCAGTTCCGTCCAGAAAATGAGGAAGACATCCTGGTTGTTACCACTCAGGTTTATAAAACTTCTCACCTCAATCCCTTACTGCCGTTATGAGTAGCAATGTAGGATAGGGTGGAATTTGAGTTAATAAGGCTTTATTGAATATCTAACGGTATTGTTGGAAAAAATGCATATAGTACTCATGCGGACTCACTAAGGAATGACTTAGGAATGTTAACAAGAATCATAACAATAAGTGATTTCTTCCTTTTCTAAAACTTCTTTAACTCAGCTGGCATTCAGTTATTCTTTTAACTTTTCCAGTTGTTTAATTTTTGTCATCTACACATCTTATCACCATGGTAAATGTAAAAGCTCCTTTGAGGAGAGAAGCACCAAATATTTTTATCTCTTTCAGTTCTGGCCTACAGCCTATCTGTCATACATGAGTATTAGATTCATTTTCTTACTTCATCATTTAACAGGACACCTACTCTTCATCCAGCACTACGGTAGGCACTGGGAACACAATGAAGAATCAGTTGAAACACTGTCCTTGGCCTCAAGGAGCTAAGTCCATTGGGAGAGACAAGCAATATGGTCTGCAAGAAGAAGCTACATTCTTGTGTCAATTTTCCTTTTAACTTTTAATGGCTTTTTTTTTTTGGTATTGCTGCAGTTATAAAGACATACCTCTGTTATACCCTTACCTAGGTATTAAGGAGCAGCCCCCATTTGGGGTACATAGATGTCACTGCAGTGAATGGCAATCAGCCAGTCCCTCACCATCCTAACCTATGGGAATTTTCTGCTAGAGGGACTTGGAATATAGTTTATGGAATATTCTTTTGTAGGGAGAGGTAGAAGAGATTGAGCAGCACAACAAGGAGCTTTGCAAAGAAAACCAGGAGCTGAAGGATAGCTGTGTCAGCCTCCAGAAGCAGAATTCAGACATGCAGGCTGAGCTCCAAAAGAAGCAGGTATGGCTGCTGGTTATAGGTGACCTTGGACCATGGAGATCAGAATTGGATGGTGCCTCTTATCCAGCACCATATTCTGTTTTGCCTGTGATCTCACCCTCTTATACCAGTATCTTTGAACAGGCATTAGTTTTGTTTGTTTGTCTGAAATGGAGTCTCACTCTGTCACCGAAGCTGGAGTGCAAGGGTGCGATCTTGGCTCACTGCAACCCCCGCCTCCCAGGTTCAAGAGATTCTCCTGCCTCAGCCTCCCGAGTAGCTGGGATTACAGGTAATCGCCACCACACCCAGCCAATTTTTATATGTTTGTAGAGACAGAGTTTTACCATGTTGGCCAGGCTGGTCTCAAACTCCTGGCCTCAGGTGATCCACCCACCTCGGTTTCCCAAAGTGCTGGGATTATAGGCATGAGCCACCTTCCCAGCTGAATATCTCCTTTTAATTGTTTATATGTTGAAATGGTATTTTAGCTACATTGGGTTAAATATACTATCATTTGGCTAGGTGCAGTGGCTCACACCTGTAATTCCAGCACTTTGGGAGGCTGAGTCAGGTGGATCACAAGGTCAGGAGTTTGAGACCAGCCTGGCCAAGATGGTGAAACCCTGTCTCTACTAAAAATACAAAAATTAGCCAAGCATGCTGGTAGGTGCCTGTAATCCAAGCTACTCAGGAGGCTGAGGCAGGAGAACTGCTCAAACCTGGGAGGCAGAAGTTGCAGTGAGCCAAGATCACACCCCTGCACTCTGGCCTGGGCGACAGAGCAAGACTCTGTCTCAAGAAAAAATTAGCCAGGCATGGTGGCATGCGCCTGTAATCCCAGCTACTCAGGAGGCTGAGGCAAGATAATTGCTTGAACCTGGGAGGCAGAGGTTGCAGTGAGCCAAGATCACACTACTGCACTCCAGCCTGGGCAACAGAGCAAGACTTTATCTCAAAACAATAAAATAAATAAAATAAAATAAAGTAAGATAAAATAAAATAAATTTTTAAATAAATATTTATATACACACACACTATTATTAAAATTAATCTGTTTCTTTTTACCTTTTTAAAAATGTGCCTACTAAGATTTTAAAATTATATGTGGCTCTCACTTATTGAACAGCACTGTTCTAGGAAAAGGGCAGTTTTGTCTATTTTGTCCACTGTTGTGTCTGCAGTGCAAGAACAGTGTCTAGTATGGAATAGGCTCTGAGTAAATATTTATTTAATGAACAAATTATAAGCTCCAGTGGAATGAGAAATTAAGGTGATGCATTTTTAATATAGAAAGAGCATTTTGTGGCCGGGTGCAGTAGCTCATGTCTGAAATCCCAGCGCTTTGGGAGGCTGAGGCAGGAGAATCGCTTGAACCCAGGCGACAGAGGTTGCAGTGAGCCAAGATCACGCCACTGTACTCCAGCCTGGGTGATAGAGTGAGACGCTGTCTTAAAAAAAAAAAAAAGAACATCTTCCTTTTATTTGAGTATTTCATTTACTGCTGTGTCATGCTATGCCTGACATATAGTAAGTGCTCAATAAATATTTGTTGCCTGCCTAAGATACTCATTCAAAAGTCATAGAAATAGTCTGTCCCTCTGATGGTGTTTCAATCTATAGGAGGAGCTAGAAACCCTACAGAGCATCAATAAGAAGTTGGAACTGAAAGTGAAAGAACAGAAGGACTATTGGGAGACAGAGTTGCTTCAGTGAGTGTGTCCCATAATTCTGGGAGGGGAAGAGCTGCTGTACCATCGATACCCTTAAATACAGTCAGATTAGATTTCTGGAATTTGCGAGAAAACACTGTTATGACATTGAAGGTGTGACTCTCTGCCCTTTGAATCATGAATTAGAAAATTGGTATCAGAATAGTCAGGAAAAATGATCTGATTTCAAATATTAACTTTAGGGATTGAATACTTGCAGTTTTTTGGAGTCAGGAAGCCAAAACAGGACTGCAGTGGAGACTAGTAGATTTTTAAATAACTCTGCAGGCTTAGGGCCAAGCCAGCCTTAAATCATTTAAGGCCAGGGGTAGCTGACCTGCAGTGAGTGAATTTTTCACATAGTTATCTCCACCTCCACAGACTGAAAGAACAAAACCAGAAGATGTCCTCAGAAAATGAGAAGATGGGAATCAGAGTGGATCAGCTTCAGGTAGGTAATGCCATACCTTTGTCAAAGGATATTTTCTTAGCCTTACCATGGCTCCAATTTGGTGGCCTAGAAAGATGTATTTCATTGCAGTGAGTGCCTAATGGCATACTTTTCAAAGTATCACACTAAAGTTTCAGGTTATGTATTTTCCATTCTAGAACCAGGTAAACCTCCACCCTACTCATGCCCCCCTACTTTAAAAAAAAAAAAAAATCATGATTCACAGCCAGGTGCAGTGGCTCACATCTGTAATCCCAGCACTTTGGGAGGCCAAGGCAGGTGGATCACCTGAGGTCAGGAGTTTGAGATCAGCCTGGCCAATATGGCAAAACCCCGTCTCTACTAAAAATAAAAAATTAGCTAAGCGTGCTAATTTACAGGTGCACCTGTAATCCCAGCTACTCAGGAGGCTGAGGCAGAAGAATCACTTGAACCCCGGAGGCAGAGGTTGAAGTGAACAGAGGTCGCACCACTGCACTCCAGCCTGGGCGACAGAGCAAGACTCTGTCTCAAAAAAAAAAAAAAAAAAAAAAAATCGTAATTCACAAGGAACTTAGTGATTTGTTCGTGTATTACTAAGTTAATTTACCATGAGCTCTTAATGTAGATGACAATCATCTATATCAATAATCAAACTTTAATCTTTTCAAGCAAAATCGTACTCGAAAGTCTGGAATATAGAGCAGATAGCAGAACTGCTCTCATTTTTAGGAAGCTATGCCTTAAAGAGGTGCTTTAAAGAGTGGTTTGTCTAATTGTACTCAGTTGAGCCTTAGATTCTTAGGCTATAAGGTTGAGCTGAAAAGTAAAGGAGTTCTACAGGATATTTGGCAGTTGGGAGTTGCTAGGGAAACACATCTCTTTGTTATTGTACATTAAAAAGCATTGTTCCTGTTTTGTTTTCCTTCTTTTGTATCTTGGTTATGTTCACTGTTTTTATTTTAGGCCCAGTTGTCAACTCAAGAGAAAGAAATGGAGAAGCTTGTTCAGGGAGATCAAGATAAGACAGAGCAGTTAGAGCACCTGAAAAAGGAAAATGGCCACCTCTTTCTCAGTTTAACTGAACAGGTAGAGTCATGGGAGAAAACAATACTTTTAGGCGTTTGCAAGAAAATATACATTGTTCTTTGTATAAAGAACATTTTAATGTTCTTTAATATGCCTGGATATCACTGGCTCTAGGAAAGGGCTCAGAGGAAACAGTCTGAAACGAGATAGCTCATGGCTTTCTTTAGAAACTGACAAGAGAAGACTTGCCTCTCCCTCTGCATCCTGCTTGCTCATTAGCTTAGCAGGCCCTTCCATGGTGTATGTGTGCATGTGTGTGTTTTCCCAGCAATGGTACTGAAATTTGTTTTTGTGCAGAGGAAGGACCAGAAGAAGCTCGAGCAGACAGTGGAGGAAATGAAGCAGAATGAAACTACGACAATGAAGAAACAACAGGAATTAATGGCACGTCTGTCTTTGGATGGTTATGTGGGAGGGAGCCTATAGGGATATAGAAGAAAGGGATATGGGCCTATTTTCAGGTGATGGACAGGATAAGTAAGAAAGTGTTCACCTCTAGATGTTTTGCTTTCTAGCCAAAAGGACAGAGATTTACAAAATATTTAGAAGTAGGCATTTCTAATGTGTAATAAGTGATAAAGGAATACTGCAAGTTAAACTTCATGACAAGATGTAGTTAACTAGATCCTTGGACTAGGGCTCACACAGAATAACCCCTACCCTCTTCTTACAGAGTTACAATGGGGGCAGACAAGTGAATGGTTATAAAGGGCTCTATAACAGGAAAATATACCACCCAAAGCAAATCTTGTTATAATTAATATATTAGCATTATCATCATTATCAATTACATAGGAATGAAAGCCTAATTGACTAATAATTTCCTATAATATATGGTTGAAGAAGAGGCCCCCTGGTGTTGACAGGTGCCTGGAAGCCCCATTTACTTAGTTGATCCAAGGACATGAGAAATCCTGATGTCCGAGGGATATCCAGTCATTGGGATTGTAATTCACATCATATATGCACCATCCAGTCAATCACTGAGTACGTACTATATCTAAGATACTGTATGCTTTAGCGTGATATAGGAAAGACTAGAACAAAGTTTGCAAATCAGCAGATCATAGGTCAAGGTCAGACACAGATATGTTTTATAAAGTAGTTATCAACATTTAAAAATAGGAATATTTCCCATAAAAATTTGTATTTCCAGCTTCCTTTGAGAAATGAGAGGACCTAGCAATGCTGAGCCCACATTCCTGTGCAGCAGCAATAGCTAGAGCTAAGTAGCTGCTGTCCCCTGTAGGTGGGTCATGAGCTCTCCATCTAGCTGCAGTCTGCACTGTTTCGTTGCATTCAACTCCTTCATACGATTACATTTCTTGCCTGCTCTCTATAGGCACATTCCAGTTTGTGACCTCTGATGTAGCAAAGAAATTACTGTTTTAAATAATCTATAGTCCCGGCCGGGTGCAGTGGCTCACGCCTGTAATGCCAGCACTTTGGGAGGCTGAGGCAGGCGGATCATGAGGTCAGGAGTTCGAGACCAGCCTGACCAACATGGCGAAACCCCATCTCTACTAAAAATACAAAAATTAGCTAGGCATGGTGATGGGTGTCTGTAATCCCAACTACTCAGGAGGCTGAGGCAGGAGAATCGCTTGAACCCGGGAGGCAGAAGTTGCAGTGAGCTGAGATCGCGCCATTGCACTCCAGCCTGGGCGACATAGTGAGACTCTGTCTCAAGAAAAAAAAAAAACTATAGTCATTCAACGATTTGAGCCACCTTGTGATGGGTATGGATTT